CCCAGGGCAGCTGTGGCTGAACCTGATCAGCGGCTGATTCCAGGAAGCCTGGGGCAGAGCAACTTGGGGGGGGGGGCCCCTGCCGCGGCTGCGGCTTCAGTCCCGGTGCCTGTGGTCTGCTGGGGACAGTCCCCAGCAGACCACAGGCACCGGGACTGAAGCCGCAGCCGCGGGGGGGGTCCCGCGCCTCTGAGGCTTTGCCAGAGCAAAGCCTCAGAAGTGCGGGAACCCGCCCAGTGCCCCTGGTCTGCTGGAGACGGTCTCCAGCAGACCAGGGGCACCGGAGCAGCTTACGAACGGGGCTTTCTTGCCCCGGAGCTCGCAGGTAGCAATCCGTTCGTAAGTGCGGATCCGACTGCCTGTACTGAATAGGGCACCTAATCTGCTTGGCTGGCTGGCTCTTTTTTTTTTTTTTTGCATACTTAAGGCATTAAATATTTCCTTTAACATTTCTACTAGTTTGGTAAATATTCTGGACAATTTTCTACATCTATTCTAGTCAATGGGTGAATCCAAGAATATGTCACTTGTTACTGAAGAGTCTGGGAATCTTCATTGTACATTAAGTGGTTCTTGATGACATGCCTCCCATAGACTCAGGGTGAGTAAAAGGAGGCTGGCACTGAGTACTCCAGTTCTGCACCACAGAAGCCCATGGTGTCTTGAAGCCCATGCTGTCTCAAACCCCCTTCTCTTAAAATAGTATTTCAAATACTTCCTTCCTCCAGTTATTAAACATCTCTTCCATCTCCTGCATTTCATGCCAGCTACCACTCACTTGAACTGCTCAGTGTGGAAGTGGACACAAACACCACATATAGTAAAGAAAACATAGAGTTGTGCTGGCAGTGGTTCCATAGATGAGATAGGAATTCTGAAGGAGCTGGGGGTACTTCCCAGAGAGTTACACAGTGAAACATTCCATTCTTTCCTTCCACTGAGAGGAAGGTATAAAAAGTGCAAATGGAAGACAAACAAGGAAGATGCAGTAGAAAGAAAAGGAAAGACGTGGATAAAAAAAGGAAGAGGCGAGAAAAGGGAAAAGAAACAATAGACAAAATACAGAATACATGGTTTGTGAATAAAAAAAGACAAGAAAAAATGGGAGGGGAAGGTAAACAATATAATAAATAAATGAACAAAAATGGAAAGAGGAAGAGATGAAGATAGCAACATTACGCTAGTGAATTTTACTTCTCTTTATTTACAAACTTTTCTTTGTTGGGATTATTAGTTTTGGGGGGGAACATGGGAAAGGTAAATACGTGGATGATAAGCTGGCTGTACATTGTGCAGCATGGTTCCACAGGAATCTGACCAGGGCTCCCCAATCATAAATGGAAGGGAAGATTTAGAGCTCTGAGAACACTGAAAATCTGACTTCAGAAAGGGAGGGAGAAGGGAAAAACTCAGGAAAGACAAGAAGACTTTATCTTGTAATAGGAATCAACTTAGTGGACTTTTTGCCATGATTGGGCATGGTTGTGGTACACTGATCTAGCAATATAATATTTTTTTTTATATTGTTTTTATTTTTTTTAAATGAAGAAAAAATGCTTTCAAATCAGTTAAAAACACTGTGCAAAATGGTTATTTCAAGTAGTTAATTTCTGTATCATTGTTTCATTTATAGCTAATTTGCAACAAATCATGTTTTCATTGTAGATTACATCTATTTGAATTGAAAAGGTAGCATACTGTCGTGGAGGAAGAAGTGGTGAGAAAGATGCTTTGACTTGGGTGAACTTCATCCACTTCAATGGAAAATATTCGAAATCAGAGCTACTCAACTTTGGAAGCCCCGGGGGCCATAATGATACTTACAGCACATGCCGGAGGCTATAACTTAAGTGTGGTCGCATATATCTTCAAATAGCGACAGGTATGAATACAAATATTAAGGCAAGATTATACAACATGTAGGCCCCACTTAAGTCAGTTCTACTAATATTAATAAAATGCAATATTTACCTAATTTCCACACATCTGACAGCACCTTTAATGAGTGATGCTAGTCCAGGAATTTAACTACTAAAACGCCTATCAACATAAGACCATTATATTGACTACTTTTTTGTTTTGGCTCCAACCTGTGAGCTGCAAACTAACGGGCTGAGGGTTGCATGTAGCCCATGGACCATGTGTTGAGTAGCCCTATTCTAAATAATCCTCTACCCGGGCTACTTTTATCTCTAATTCATAAAGATACTTCTGAAGAGCAATTTTTTGTTTTTGATCAGGAGATGGACCTTATCAAAGAGTTTCTGAAGAGGATATCCCTAGACAGTATCCTTTCTACCTACAAGTGCTTGATACCTTTCAGAAACAGAAGAGAAAAAGCTAATGACAAAATATTACTTACCTCTCCAATCACATACTCCAGTGCTCACCTTAAAATACCCACTGAAACTTTAAAGGTACAGTGACCTATTTTGGCTGCAAGGGTACACGGAAATGTAATAAGCTATACAGACAATCTTGTACCTACTTTGCATCACATCCTACAGGTGTGAAGTCCAGCTTGTGCTTAGTTCTGAAAATGAAGTTTTTGGTTCGTATCTCAAGGATTGAAGGAGGCTGCAAAGGGGTAGCCACTGTAAATAGAGCCAGCTGAGGAGAGACAGGAGAGCCATCCTTCCCTTTCTTGTTCTGTCCATGAAGAAACTTTAATCGCCCTTGAAAATTCATGGCCTTCAGAGGAGGGAAAAATATAGTGATTGTAGTATAGAAAGATTGATTTATTAATCAAATCTTATTTTATTTTCTAGTATCTAAAGGAGGAAGGAGAAAAAAATGTTCTCCTTAGCTTCTGAGAATAGGACAGAAGCAATGGACTTAAATTGCAGCGCAAGGAGGTTTAGACTGGACATTAGGAAAAACTTCCTAACTGTTAGGGTAGTTAAACACTGGAATCAATTGTGTAGGGGGGTTGTAGAATCTCCATCACTGGAGATATTTAAGAGCAGGTTAGACAGACACCTGTCAGAGAGGTCCTGCCATGAGGGTAGAGGACTGGACTCGATGACCTCCTGAGGTCCCTTCCAGTTCTAAGATTCTGTGATTCTCTGAAAAATGGCACTTCGTCAAATTCATGTTTTACACCTTAATAAATATTTAAATATTAAGACTGAGAGTATGTTGCTACACTTAGGCTGTGTCTAAACTACACCTTTCTGTTGACAGAGAGATGTAGATTAGGCACGTCAAAATTGCTAATGAAGCAGGGATAGAAATATTAAAATCCCTGCTTCATTAGCAATTTCGAGAAGCCTAATCTGCATCCCTCTACAGACAGAGGAATGAAGTCTAGATGTAGCCTCAGTGACTGTTATTTAGAAATGTATTATCCCATAAGCAAAGCACAAAAAACAAATACAGAAAACTTGGTGTAAAACAGATCGCTAGTAAATAATAACGACATCGTTTTGAACTCAATCTAAGCAGAGACGCATTCAGAGAACCTTTTTATTTCTAGACACGTAACTTGTATCTGTTCATTATTATAAAAGACACCATGGCAAGATCAACTAAACCGTTTCAAGTCAATTAAGAAGCAGCTCTGTAAGCAGCAGGAAGCCAACATTACCACTAGCATATTCAGTTAAAAGATACATCACTAAAACATTTAGCACAGGATTACTGATCAAATACAAAGGGACAATATGACTACTGACTATTAACATATCCTTTACCACTGCAAGTAACAGAAATGATCTGTTATGTAATGCTTTTCATTCATAAATCACACATCTCTTCACAGAAGATGACAAATATTTACTCTCATTTTACAGACAGGGAAACTGAGGCACACAGAGATGTGAAATGAATTATTAAGGTATCAGGCTGAGCCAGGAATAGAACTCAGGTTAGTCTACTAGGCTCTGTCTACTAGATCAAGCTGATCCATGTAGGTTAGCGCTTTACTAAACCTTAACTCGTAAATTACTATAAACATTATCACCATTGTCTAGTTTTATACATGGTGGTTAAAGAGAAAGTCTTTATATAATCATATACTCACCAAGAACCCAGATGAATTATCCAGGAGGCATCTTAATCTACAGATAAAATTTCTCTCCATAAAGGAAGAATTCTCTGGAGGAAGCTGTTCTGGGTTATAATAGGTTGCTGGCTGTGAAAAGCCATTATCTCCTGCAGGAAAAGACTATTTTTAGAGAAACACCTAGTGAAGGCTATCTATAACAAATGATTTTCCGTCCCATAAACAAAATCTCAGGTCATGACCGGAACATGAACAATGTAAATTGAAAACATCCTCAAGCCCTACATTGGACTGCACGACTAGAAATGTTTAATATCAGTTCTCCTAATAGGATCATGTTTAACAGTTCATCATATGCTAGAATTGTGTCTAACACACTTCCTACTCCTTCTAAGTTTATGATTCAGACCCTGAAAGTGTCTTGGAAAATTAAAGTTCTCCGTGGAGTGTATCCACATTGCAGGATTTTCAAAGGAAGTTTGGCACCCAACTTCCATTTATTTTTATTTGGGAAGTAGGCACCTATTTCCACTGAATCCTTCTGAAAATTATACAGCGTTTCTTGTTAAAGCCTAGTATTGCATTAAGCTCTCCAAAAGGAAAAGTGCCACAGCTCAGCTACTCTGTTCAGTTGTGCATGCTACCTCCTATTAAAAATTTAGTTCTAAATAAACATTCCCATATTCATATTCTGTGATGTCCAACTAGGAGGTGCAGAAAAACTACAAAAGCAGTAAAATTTGTTGTGAGCAATGCTGATAATGAAATCAGTGTGTAGTTTTACCCATTAGATGCATATGTGAGCAACTTTAGGACTGTAACTGTGGCAGTAGAATGATATTGTGTTGGCAGTTTAATATAACTTTTTGCTGTTGAAGTGACATGTGGGCATTATTTTATACTTCAACTGTTAAGGTCTAAGAAACATAATGCAAATAATACTGCAACAGTAATCTGCACAACTGAATACATGATTTGCTTTATGATACACGTAGTACAATAACTACTATCCCTATAAAACAATGATTAGTCTAGCAGCACCTAAAAGACTAACAGGTGCTGCTAGACTACTTGTTGTTGTTTAAGTTTTTCCAATTACAGACTAGCTCAGTTACACCCCTGAAACTTTTGTACTATCCCTGTTCAATGTTAGTTAATGAAATACTCTTTGTAGGTAATAGATGTACAAACAACAAACTGACCTACCAAAATAATTCATAGGCAGGTAAATGAAATCGATAAAACTGCCACACAGTAAGAACTATAAAATCTCTTATGCAGTATTTACAGCGTGGCTTTGGAGTTATGCAAACAGCTTGATTAAAATAAATGAATAAGGTGTATAAAACCTACAAAAATGTGTTTTGGCATTTATTTTAATAGAAATTCAATAATTAAAAGTATCAATGAAAAACTACACAAAGTTAGTTGAGGACACACACCTTTTGATGGTATGAAAGAAAACATTAATTCCAGATCAGAAGCAATATCTAATTTGTTGCTTCTCGTAAATTAAACATAATAAAGAAAATGAATTGCACATTACCTATGGCACCATTCTCTCAGTAATTTGGGAGGATGAAACATGGTTCAACAATGCATATTAAACTATCCATAGTAGAGCTGCACCCAAGAATGTTAGAAGAAACTTTCAATCTTCCTTAGAAATAGAAAAGACCCAAATGTACATATTGGCTCTGCTCTTTTAGATCCAGAGGTCTAAAAGGTCATGAAATCATGGTGTTAAAACCCCCCACTGAATTCCAAAAAATGGCAATATGAACTAACCAACAATTCAGGTAATTCACTGAAACCAACATAGAGTAACCTGAATAGTATGTTCTCAGGTACTCAGCTGCAGGTTCCCTCCACAGCAGAACACATTTGCAATTTTGATACATATTTCATTATGTAAAACTCATTTTATACTGTTTTCTTTACTGCCATACCGCCTATGTCCCTCTATGAAAACAAAACAAAAAGTAAAAGTAAAATCAGTAAAATGGTATGTGGAATGTTTCCAATTTTTCCACATAAGAAATTATTTTAAATCAAGAAAACATGCTAATAATCCAGATTAACACACTACACGTTAATTTGAAGTGTTCTGAAGTGTTTCTTTTAGACTGAAAACTAGTGGTTTCTAACATCAGGAACTTGTTAGATTTTCTGATTTACAAGTCCAGTAAATGGATGAACTCTTCCTTCTTAGTCTACCCTGAATTTTAACCAGGCCTCACAATGGGAAAAAATTTGTTCAGTGTCCATACAAGTTTTATCTTGTGGGTTTTTAAAGTATAAATCAAGAGAAATATCTGTGTATGAGACGAGGGTATTAAAAAACAGAAGTGAATTAAAATAGAAAATGGTTTCACTAATACTTCGGGTCCTAATCATCATAAAAGGTAACATTTGTTATAGATCTGAATTAAATAAAAAACAAAATACTATAATAATAAAATATGACAAAAGCTGTATTTTACAAGTAATCTGGCATGAAAATAGTTTAACAGCTTATTCATGCTCTGTTCTTGCATTACTTTCGTCATTCAAGTGAAATTTGATGCTGAGTTAAGTTAACATCCTATCTTTTCAGACATTATTTATAAATTCCTCTGCCCTGTTAAAAGAACTTTTTAATCTTGGAATGTTTTTTCATTCTAGAATAAACCACTCTACAAACATGCTTTCAGAAAACAGCTGTTTACTAAATTAAGTCCCAACACTGAATCAAAAGACAAGTTCACTGTAGTATGTTTTTAGCTTCATTCTGCAAATTGATCCAGGGCTGGTATAAACACTACAAAAACCAAGTTGAATCACAAACATAAGCTAACTGTTGTGTACAAAGTACACCAACAACCATGAAGCACACAGAGCTTTAAATGAGTCAAGAACATAGGCCAAGGATGTTTAGTCTTTTTCTACCTAGCTTAGTGACATTTACTTTATTTAATATTGAAGGTAAATGGAAAAGGGTAATATTTTAAATCAACTTTCCTTATGTAGCTACATTTACCATAACATGGATTATTTCTTCTTTGCTGGATCCTAAGTGGAAAAAATCCAGTAATAAATAGGATGGAGCCTGGGCCACATACTTTCACTTATTCAAAATATTTTCAACCTAATAAACATCTTTTCTCCTCTATAGATATAAAATGCCTTTCCCTCGGTCATGCAGATTCAGTGGTGAAGGCCCATTTTCATTGCTAAAAGAAGATTAGTATGAAAACCCTATTAAAGTTTAGTCTAAGGTTCTGTCTACACTTCTAAGTTGAAAGCACAGCTGTGGCAGTGCTGTAATGCAGCAGTGAGCTTAGGACTGCGCTCTGTCCCAGTGCTCTATGCAAACCACCTCCAAAGGTAGAGTATCTTACAGTGCTAGGAGCCTGTTTACACACATACTTTAACTTGCTATGCTCACTGGGGGATGGGAGGGAAGAAAGGAAGTATTTTTTCACACCTGAGCAAGAAAGCGGAATACAATAAAGTCACAGTGTAGACAAGGCCTCAGATCAATGGTTCTCAAAATGTGATCCGCGAACCATTAGTGGTCTGCAACCGACTTGCAGGTGGGCTGCATGCTCAGAGCTTGCCTCCTCCCCTCCACATAGTGGAGAGCCTGCATTCACACTCCAGCCCCCAGAGCCAGCTTCCTGCTGCAGGGAGGATGTGGAAGATGGAGGGCTGTGAGCCTTGCAGTCCAAAACTGGCTTGTGGGAGAAGGAAGCAGCCCCGCACTAGCCTGACTCCCCCACTGCAGGTAGGGGCTGCTTCCTTCTCCCACAAGCTCAAACCGGGCGGCCAGAGCAGCCTCTGTCTGTGGTTGGCCTGGCCCAGTCCCACTGAAGGCATGGGTTGCTCCAACTGGCCAGAGAGAGCAACCCTTGCCCATGGAGAGGAGGCATCACTCCAGTAGGGCTGGAGTGGCCCCCTTGACCGCCCTCCCTTTAATTGGGTAACCAGTTAAACAATGATTGGTTAACCAATTAAACTGGATTTCACATCCCTACCACTAACTGTGTCTCCATTCAATAAATCAAAATGGCAACCTACCCCATGAGGCCAGTCAGGATAGTCTCTGGTCTTAATAACCATCCTTTTTGTCTCTTCAACTACCTTTTGCTCTTTCTCCGGCTCCCACCCAGGAGGTTGTGTACACAAGTGAAACTTCATATATTAACTGGGGGAAAAAGCTACTCTTCCACAGCCACCAATGCACTTTTCCAGTGCTAAGATGTGACAAATGCACCCTTTTCAGCCATCACAGATAATGGCCAGAAGTGCTGAAAAGGTATGTCACATAACTTCCTTGATGTCTTGACTGAGCTAGAAAATCTGATGCCAAGCTCAGTCTCAGGAGTGGATGTGCAATTTCATGGAAGGAACACCACTTCATTCATGACCTTTTCTCCCTCCTGCCAAAGATGATTAGACAAATTTATTGGTTATGTTAGTATATATATATCTTTATGAAATAAAATCACATTTGGCCCCTTTTAGAAACATAATATCCATCCTACTAGACATCAAATTATTTCATACCATATGAAATTAATGAGCAGTGATGTGCCAGTTTTGGGATGTATGCTTCGGTAACACACTCCTACTTGGGTGTGGCTCACTGTCCCAATGTAGTAGCCCTTAAACTGCTTACAGCAAGAAAGAATAAGTTTGCTCTACAGCTTTAGCTAGGTGCTTGCTGGCTATTAGCTCTATTTGTAGAGACTTATGCACTAAGCTCCAGAGGTCTGGGGTTTGGTTCTGCCTCTCAGTGTTACACTTCAAAACAATATTTCTACCTGTAATTTTCATTTGAAGTGAAACTAAAATCTTGTTTATGCAAGTGTCGTGTTAACAGCTATAAATGGTTATCTGAAAGGAGACTTTATGATTTAGAATACAAAGACAATTGTAAGCTAGCTGAGTCCATTCTCACCTTGTATTCTCTGTCCAGAATCTGTAGGGTTTAATGCCCAATGAAGCTGACGCTGAAACTCAGGTCTATCTTCTGTATGAATCAATTCAAATACACTCTGGTGTATAATATCAGACTACACATAAAAAGGAAAAAGTTGGAGTAAGACACTCTGATGACAGTGCCAAAGTCATCTTATTAACTTTAATTACATGACTGGTTGCTAAACTAGCTATTATAATGCATCTCATTAGAGGTACAACAACAACAGTTTGTATTTAAGAAGAAGTTTTACAAAATCATTTGCAAAAGCTCATAAAAGAATCCAGTGTTGTGTATTAGAATAGAATTCCTTCTTTTTTATATTCTGGGTTTTTTTATTACAGAAGTTTGGCAAATCTTAATTACTTAAGGTTTTATTTTTCATTCTTCAATGACCATGACAGCCTAACAGAAATGTAAAAATAAGAAAACATAACAGGTGTGACATATATAGAAATGACAATGCTTTATGTGTTTTAAAAAAAATAGGAGAAAAAACCATTTCATTTTTATTTCACAAACTCCAGTTTATATAGGAGCAAAACAAGTACAGTGCCAATCAGGATTTGAGCACAATTGTGCTAGGAGACAAGTTCCCAAAGAACTCACAAATCTAAGTATAAACTATGAATGTTGGTTTTGTTT